AGCAGAGGAAGAAGCTGTATTAGAGTCCCTAAACCCTAAACCCCCCAAACCCTAAACCCTAAACCCTAAAACCTAAACCCTAAAATGTTCTGACGGAGTAGTAGACCCTTGGCTACCATACTTGGGTTTCTCTTCTTCTTTGTTTGCTGCTGCTGCTGCTGCTGCCGCTGCTGCTGCAGCAGCAGCAGCTTGCTCAGAAGCTGCTGCTGCCTCTGCACCGTCACGTTTGGCTCCTTGCCGTTTTTGCTGCTGCTGCTGCTGCTGCTGCTGAGCTGCTGCAGTTTTTGTATTTCCCGTTGCAGAGGAAGGGGCAGCAGCAGCAGCAGCAGCAGCAGCAGCTGCAGCAGCAGCAGCAGCAGCAGCCTCTGCTGCTGCTGCTGCCTCGCGCTGCAATGCCTTAAAAGATAACGTGGGGATCGTCTGCTTGTAGTGTATGTACACCTCACGCTGTCTGCTGACATCCTCAGCAGCAGCAGCAAGCCGAGAAATAAATAAATCAGGGTTCTCCTGGTGCTTCCTGCTCATACAAACCCTAAACCCTAAACCCTAAACCCTAAACCCTAAACCCTAGACCCTAAACCCTAGACTCTACAGAGAACACAATAAACCTTAGACCCTAAACCCTAAACCCTAAACCCTACAGAGAAGACAATACACATTAAACCCTAAACCCTAGAGCCTAAGCCCTATGCCCTATAGAGAAAGTAATAAACCCTAAACCCTAAACCCTAAACCCTAAACCCTTGAGGGAGCGAAACGTTGTGTTTGCGGTGTATACGGACTTGGTGCAGTCCTGCAGGAGGAGTATATCTGCAGCAACATTAGGGTTTTGTGTTTCTGCTGCACTGATGATAGCAGCAATAGAGTTGCTTTGTGCTGCAGCAAATGCTGCTGCTGCTGCAGCAGGATTAGCAGCAGCAACAAGAAGAAAGAAATCAATGCTTATATCTGCTGCAGCAAGAGACAGCAGCAGCGGAGCATTCCAGCTAAAACCCCACAGACACAGCAGCAGATCGATAGGTCCCTTCCCTGCTGCTGCTGCTGCTGCTGCTCCCTGCTGCTGCTGCTGCTGCTGCTGTTGGTGCTGCTGCTGCTGCTGCTGCTGCTGCGCCAAAGCATTGGCTTTTGTTTGTCTTATTGCGTTTTCATATTCTTTTAGTAACGCAGATATCACCCGCGCAACCTCTCCAGGCTGTACATACCCACAAACCCTAAACCCTAAACCCTAAACCCTAAACTCTAAACCCTAAACCCTGAACCCTAAACCCTAAACCCTCGTAAGCAAACGTCAGTGCGCAGACTGCTGCGTGGTCTTAAACGGGGGTAGCCCCCTAACCAGCTGTAAAACCTCAAACCCTAAACCCTAAACCCTAAACCCTAAACCCTAAACCCTAAACCCTAAACCCTCACGCCGATGTCAGCTAGGGTTTTTGCTTTGTTGTCTGTCAACAAAGAACTCCGCTTGGCGTAGGCAAAAATTTCTTCTTCGCAGGCAAACACCACGCGGCGGGCGCGGGGGCCCTAACACCCACACACCAAACCCTAAACCCTAAACCCTAAACCCTAAACCCTAATTGATAAACTCTAAACCCTGATCGCTAAACCCTAAAATTCGTTTTTTTTTTATTTTCTTTCTTAAGTCGGGTGGAAGCTATGAGGGTCTCAAGCGAACCACCCTAAACCCTAAACCCTAAACCCTAAACCCTAAAACATAAACGCTCGTCCGTCGGCTTAAAGCCGCGTTGCCGCTGCGATCACTGCCTAAACCCTAAGTGTAAACCCTAAACCCTAAACCCTAAACCCGAGAATATATATTGATGCGGTGACAGCAGCAACGAAA